AACTGTTGTTAGCCACCAGGTGGGTGCTGGGAATCAAACCCAGGCCCTCTGCAAGAACAACCAGTGCTCTTAACCGCTGAGCCATCTCTCCAGCTCTCCCTAGTTATATTTATTCTGAGCCTTCTTTAGGCTATGGTTGAATGGGGTGTTTTCCTGCTTTTTTTTCCAGTATGTTTATCATTGATATATAGGAAACAACTGGTTGATTTTTGTGTGTTAATTTTGTGTTCTGATATTTTATGAATGCATTTATCAGCTGTAGGAGTTTTCTGGGGAAATATTTTAGGTATAGAATCATATAATCCACAAATATGGGTACATTGACTTCTCCCTTTCCTATTTGTATCCCCTTAATTTACTCTTGTTTTCTTGCCCCACGTAAGAATTTAAACACTATATTGAACAGAAGTGGAGCAGGTGGACATCCTTGTCTTGTTCCTGATTTTAGTGGAAATGCTTTGAGTTTTCTCCAGTTAGCACAATGTTGGCTGTAGGCTTATTGTTTATTGCTTTTATAGTGTTGAGATATGTTCCCTGTATCCGAAGATTCTCCATGTATTATGAAGGAATTTTCTATTGTGTCATAGGCCTGTCACATCTAATGAAATGGTACTGTGGTATCTGTTCGTAAGTCTGTTTATATGGTGGTGGATTATATTGATTGATTTACATATGTCCAACCATCTCTAGGATGAAGCTGACATCATTGTGGTGGATGGGGGTGATTTTTAACACCAATTTTTAGGCATCACCTTATAAATAAGACATTTTCATACAATAAATTCAGAGCTAAATGCTGGGTAATGTTTGGCCCATCTTTTAATTTATGCAACTTAACAAAATATCCAACATTAGTAGATTTCTAATAGCCATTTCATAGGACTGCAGATTAGATTTCTGCAGGGATATGTTAGTAAAATAATTATACAGTGTGACTCATGTATTTGTGTTCACATTATAGTAATATCCAAGTTTTGTTGCCTTTCTATGTATAGTCTTACAAAGATGAAATCAGGAGTTTGAGCCTTGCATCTGTATCTCTATACCCATTTGAAACTTCCTGCTAACAAGTGCATGCTCATACTCATTAGACTTCTTGGTATAACATGCTAATCACTTTCTTGCACTCTGGCTCTGAAACCACAATGAATCATGTTATAAACACAAATCACTGCAAACTTCAAACAGCCTACATCTTTGTGATGCCACTATTAAAGAAAGCACGGTGATGGAAAATCTTTGATGTTATTAGATGTGATGGAGACTACACATTTGTATTTGTGTAAATCCTGTAGATTGAAGCACTCCCCCAACCCCTAAATAACCTGAAACCAATTTCAAGTTCCCAAAGGCTCTTCAAAGCAGTCTGCTTCGAAGTAATGCTTTTGGCATTTCAAATTTCAAGATAGCTTGCCTCTCACATCTCGGGACTTCAAGCAGATTTGAAATTTTGCTTTCAAAGAGAAAAGGTATTACCTACTTTTACCCAAATCACTAGGCTCTAGTTTGATGAGTGAAATGTCACAAGTAATGAAATTACCTACAGCAATGGAAAAATCTGTATGTAACCCTGTAGCCGAGAGACCGAATCATACAGCAGATTCTAGGGAATCCTGAGCTCTAAGTGTTTCGGTACCTCTTGCTGCAGTTCTTTCTTGTTCTGTTATAGACCCGCAGTTGGAATGTAAACTTTCTGGGCCACAGGGCTGAGCAACTGTACACAACTGCAATTAGTCTATGGGTTTCTGAATGGGGTGTCTATGAAGCTGAAGACAAAACTCGGTGTGTGCTGGATTCAGTGCCCACTGGGAGCCTAGGCTACATAATTCAGAACATTCATACTATGAATAGCTCCTGTAGCAGAGGATTGGTCTGTGGCTTCTTAAAAGGCTTCAGATTTGTGGTCAGTAGAAATATCTAAGAACCTATTTGGGCTTAAGGATACAGTGGACTTGGTGAAGTTCCACCAACATTTAATTAGGTTTCCAGTAATTACTTCAAGTAAATGAGAGAGGAATGAAACCTGAGGTTATCGTCCTGAGACACAAAATATTTGTATGTGGTTTTAATATCCTGAGCCCATTTGTTGCTTTTCTGCATTTTAGAAAGAGCCATTATAGTTTGAAGGCAATACACACTGCAGGTTTATCAGCCCTTTGGTGACTATAAATTTCCTTCAACAACCTTCAAGGAAGGGTTTTGTTTCCAGTAACTGGACTTCTATGTAAAGGAGGGATGTATAAACAAAAACGGCAAGGAAAACATGAAGTACCAGAGAACGTGGAGAAAGAGGAAAAGAAGAGATGGGGTTGGTAAAGGAAACCAAATTCCATCAATCCCCAGACACGGGTTTCTAGATGTTAGAATAATAAGAAAAATAGAGCCTGAGAGGAGGCCAGAAAAGAGAGAGGAAAGCAGTGCTTTTTGCATAGTTTAGGTTTTTGCTATGGAGATTATAGTATCAGTTCGATAGTAGTTAAAGTAATATTCTAACTACCTTTGCACAGCGGGATGAGGGCTTAGCATATACCATTTACCTAAAAGTACTTTTTGAAACTGATTATCTAGTAAATAAAAATTGATTGGTAACCTTCTAATTTTAAAAATAATTTTAAGTAATGAACTTTTGGCAATAGAGCTTGCCCCTTTGTGAGCCTGCCCTGCCTTAGAAATGTAACCGATACCTAGCCTAAGGAACCCCCTTTTAGCAGTTGATGGCTCCTGGGAGGAGGAGTGACAGTGTCTTACAGGAATGGGACTTTTGGTGGGTCCAGTGGATGGATCCACACTGAAAGACATATGGGGATCCAAATAAGACTGTAGAGGCCATATTAAATATATGAGAGTACATTAAATTGGGTGGAGGGCAGTGTGGGGAGGTGCAGGTAGGGGAGGGGATCTAAACACCATCAAACTACATTGGATTAAAATTGAAATTTTTGATTAAAAATTTTTTTAAAAAGAAAAAGAAATGTAACTACTACTTTCCTAGGGTTCAGTTTAATTCAGCAAGTTTTCAGGCTATGAAAGGGCCTATGACTCAAACCCCATTAGCTCGTCGTAGAAAATGCTGTTCATTTCTTTGTTGGAACACCTATCTCTTTGGGTAGCTATATTTTCTCTTCATTGTCTGCAACTATTTGAACACATCTTAGGCTTTAGGGTAATATCTGTCTACTTTTTTACTGTTTCCAGAAGATATACTCTTTCCTATCACATACGATCAAAATTTTTAAAAATTACAACACTTTGTAGCTTGTTAAGCTCTAAGCATATGCATATGAATTTACACATCTTCTATATTATATACATGTCCAGGACTCCTCTGACCAAGTCATCTACTACAAAACACATCAATGACACCTATGGCTCTAAGGTAGAAATCAACTCTTAACCATTGTGTACAAGAATTCTCCAAATTAGCATGCATCAGAATTACTTGGTAGATTTGTTAGGACCCATAAACTGCCAAGTCCCATCCCCAAACTTCCCTACTAAATAAATCTGGAGTAATGTCTGAGAATTTGCCATTGCAACAGGTCTTTTGTTGATGCTAAGGAACCTGTCCTACTTTGAGAATCATTGAAATTGAGATGCATAAACTGGACCCTTTCATATTACTACACTCTCTGAAAAGTGCTCAGTGGTCATTTGGATTCTCAGTCTCTAAATTCTCTTTCTCACTTCTTCCTATCTGTATTATACTTCTTGACTTATATACTCAATGTATATTGAGTTCCTTTTTATTTATTTTCATCCCTACACATTTACTTTTAGCATTCAATAAAATTATTCCACAATTACAAATAGTATTAATCCACTGTTATATGAGCCTTCTTCACAATATATATCATTGAACTATAATTCATTAAGTTTGATAACCATCCTATTCATTAGAATTTCATGAGTGCCTAACACAGTATCTTTAACATAACTGATAATAAAATATCTACGGATGAAAGAGTGGATGAATACAGAGTCAGTAGAGGAAAGCAATTCATGTAATCCTTCTTACTGAATCCATACTTGGCTCAAAGCAAATTCCCCGGCTACCTATGGGTGTTCTGCTGCTGCTCTCAATGGACACAACATTCTAGAAATATGTGCATTGAATCTCCAGGTGAATTGGCAGTTGTCCACATACATCACTCAGGTAATCTCTCTTGCAAAAAGGCATGTTGCAGAATGGATCTCTAAAACGGCCTCAACAGCTCAAAATAAATAACCCTGAAAGGGTAATCCCAGATCTTTAGTTCAATTTTTGTTATTCAAGATTACATAATTATCGTGAAATAACTTCCAGTTACTTCAGCACTGTAGTGGAGACATTTATGTTTACAGTTTAGTTACATTGCAATTAAAGAGAAACATTTGGGCTTTCAAAATGTTATACAGAAAATCTTTAAAAAGTCATATATTCATTGAACAGGATGCCAAAGGTTGGTTAACTGTGGCTGCAATTCACTCAATTAGAAAAATGATATACCATTATATTTTTAACACATATGCTAAAGCAATTTTTAAAAATTATCCCCTCTGCTATCACAGATTAGCTTTATCTCCCTCATTTCATGTGAAGAACTAGAAAGACTCTACTGCTGCAAAGTTGTTTACAGTACCTGGGCATCAGCTACACCCCACATAAATAAAATAAGATCCCTAGAAAATATGAAATCGTGGTAGCATTTTAGCAACAGTCGTACATAACCTGGTGGAAGGTGAATATTAGCAGTTCCATTGGCGAAAGACACTAGTTTGTGGAGGGACAGATTCACTCCATTTCAATTGTCAGGTGAATCTTGAAGATTTAAAATACAAATAAGAGCATAGAAGCTGCTGTTGAATACAGTAACTGGAGCCCTCAGAAAATGATGGATGAGATAGAATATCTGAATGTTGATCGGTGACATCAAGCAGCATCACCTGTGGAATAGATGATGTTCTTTATGTTTCATAAGTACAAGTCTTCTCTTGATTTGAACGTTCTTTTCTCTTGTCAGGTCTCATTGTTCGGGAAGTGAGCATTGAGATTTCACGCCAGCAAGTGGAGGAACTGTTTGGGCCTGAAGATTATTGGTGCCAGTGTGTGGCTTGGAGTTCAGCAGGCACCACGAAGAGCCGGAAGGCATATGTGCGCATTGCCTGTGAGTCACATATGGTTACTATGGGTCCCAAACTGATGAAAATGTAGGAAGGCTTAGACAGTGGTTTGTCATAGTTCCCCCTGAAAAACTGGTCCAAGTTCTGTATTTGAACCACACATCCCTCTCAAATTATATTGATACAATTTTAATTCTTCTTCCAGTGTACTCACTGAGGAACTATTTTCAGAAGATCAGAGTCTTTGTTTTCAGATCTGACACAATCAGGCTATGGGGGAATCAAGTTTTGTTTTTTTTTTTAATTGACCTGCTAGTTTGTTAAGATAATATTGATCAATACACCTATGGGAAGTAGAGATCTTTGATTAAGCTGGAGCTTTTCTAGTGCAGAACAGCGATACTCCCACACTTGATTCCTAGAGCACAGAAGCTCAGGAAGAGGTTAAAAGTGCCTCTCAAACAGTATCCATAATCAGTTGAATATTTTATATATATACATATATATGTATATACTATATAGTATATACTATATATATATATATGAATGTATGTATGTATTTGGCATAGTTATAGAGGCCTCTTCATTGTAAAACTTCTCTGGTTCCTTAATGTGCTTATGTGTATACTGCCCCTAGAGGTGAGCCTGCGGCTGCCACAGAGCCTTCTCAAGGAGCAGCCCTTCCTTCTGGAGCAGGGTGGGGCTTGCTAAGGCTGTCTTTGGCTTCTGTTGAGACACTTTCTCATGGATGATGTGCACTACTGAAATTCATGTTTTATTTTCTGAACATCTTTACACCACTGTGCATTACTAAATTGTATCTTTGGGCAGATGTCACTATCCCATTTATGTGTCACAAAGTCTTGTCAATACTGACTGATGCTGCTCCAATATATACACATTTCTTGCCTCCCTTCTCTGTGATCTAGGTCTTAGATCTTTCGCAGTGAACCACCAGGCCTCGGGTCTTTCTTAACTCTAGTCCTTCTTCCATGTAACCATCAGTGCAGCCTTCCCAAGAAAAAGGCACACCTCACCTCACTCCACCCCTATTCCCAGATAACTGAGACTTGTAAGACAAAGTGAAAACCCCTTCAAAATATCAGACTAGCTGGCTTAAACATCAGAAATTTACTTTGTTACAGCTTTGAAGGGGAAAAGTTGGGATTAAGGTGTCAGTGGGCTTGGTTTTTCCTGAGGTCTCCCTGATACTTGTATCCAGCCACCTTCTCAGTGAATCCTCACAGGATCCTTCCCTGGAGTACCTCTGTGTCCACATTTCCTTTTCTTTTAAGAACACAAGTCAGATTAGATTAAGACCCAGCCTTATTTTAAATTCATCATCTCTTTAAAGGCATCATTTTCTAAATGTCATCACATTCTAGATACGAAGTTCAGGAATACAGCACAAAAACTGGGGAGACAGTTTATTCTGTAACAGGCACATGTGATAACCTACATTCCCAACCTATGCTTCCTGCTCTGACTGCTGAAGATGTCTAAATGTTGGTCACAGTAGATTCAAAATACTTTGATTTCTTTGACTTCCAATTATTATTCATGTTTATTTAGCATGAATAATATTCACATCCTTGTTATATTCAATAATTACCAACCTTGTTTTCTTTCCTTTTGAAATTTTAAAAAAATTAGTTTCTTCAGCAAATATCTAATGAGGGTGTTTCTTTTTCTGTTCCTGGAAGAAAGGAAAACTCTAGATAAAACAATGAGCAGATGTGGGACAGATATATGCTGTGAAGTAAGCAAAGCAGGGCCAGGGAAGAAGCAGCCTGGGGGAAGTCTGCAGAGAAGCCAAGTGCTGAATTGTAACCATGAAGGTAAGAGGGAGGGAGTTAAAGTGGCAGGAACTCCAGCCCTGGGGGTACAAATATCTGCGGAGGAAGTTGGTAGCCACCTTCCAGGAAGTGAGAGATGCCAGAGTGGCTGGAGTAGAGTGGGAAAAGAGATTCCTAGAAAACAAGAGAAAGGCCTAGCCTGAGGCTGAGGAGACAGGCGTGGGTGGTGATTTAGGACTCTGTAGGTGTCTTCTTGGTGTTTAGGATGATTTGGAATCAAGAGCCCCTCTGACCTTTACAGAATCACTGACTGCATGCTATTGAGAAGAGACCCTGGGGTGGGGGGGCAAGGATAGAAGTGTGTTAAGAGGCTTCTTCTTGTAGCCTATGTGGGACTGTCATGAAGAGAAGCAGTGGAGATACTGAGACAAAGGTTCCAAATGGATTCAAAGAGAGAAGTCAGAGCCTTCACTGAGAGTTTCCATGTGGGATGTGAAAGTAAAAAAGAAAAAGTTGATATCTAGAATATACAAACACTTTAAAAACTTTCAAAAAATCAATCAACCCAATTAAAAAAAGGGACATGATGACTATAACAAGAGCTCTCAAAGGGAGACACACAAATAGCTGAGAAACACAATGTTTTACTGTTTATTTATTTTATTGTTATTATATTATTCCAAAGAGAGGCAATTTTTAACAAATTTTTCCAGAAATAACTTGAAGCAGGTCACATAAAAAATATACATACAATGAAGTTTAAGGTGGAAAAATAGGAATAAGAAATCAAAGACCAAAGGATTTTCCCACATGGGGTCAACTTTGGTGGAATAATGAAGGTTTCCATTAGCTCTGTTCTTTTTATTTTATTTTTTTTTTTTGGAAAATCCTAACGAGTTTATTGGGCTTGCTAAGAGAACATAGGGTGGGGGTTTATTTACAAAATAGTGGGCACCCCTCACCCCATTTAAAGCTGTGCTGGAAAGTCCACACAACAGCCACACAAAATGGTAAAAGAGGTGCCTCCTAGCGTTCTCAGCTTAAATATCCTTAGCCCCTCCCCCACATGCAGCTAAGGTCACTGGTTGGATGGGAGGAGTAACTGACTCCCCCCATCAACTCCTTGATGAGCATGGGAAGGAGGTGTGACTACAGCTTGCCACATAGTGTTGGGAGGACCCTTCCAGTTAACATTTTAAAATGTTCAGCATCTTAGCCATCAGAGGAAAACAAAACTACTTAGGTTTTATCTTACCCCAGTCAGAATGGCTAAGATGAAAAACAAAACAAAATAAAGGACAACAATACTGGCAAGGATGTGGAGAAAGGGGAACATTTATTCACTGCTAGTAGAAGTGTACTGCTGCAGTCAATATGGAAATCAGTGTGGGGAATCCTCAGAAAGCCAGAGACCTTTGGCAAGATCCAGCTATATCACTCATCGATGTATACAGAGAACTCTGTATCCTGCTACAGAGATACCTGCTCATTTATGTTCACTACTGCTCTATTCACAATAGCCTGGAAATGGAAATAGCCCAGATGCCAATCAACTAATGAATAGATAAGAAAAGTGTGATAGATTTGTAAAATGGAATATTATTTGGCTATTAAGAAAAATGAAATTCTCAGGTAAATGGATGGAGCTAGAAGCAGTCATCCTGAGTGAGGTAACCTAGACGTAGAAAGACAAGCATCACAAGTTTTTGCTCATATGCGTGATGTTCATCTCGAATCTTTAGCCGAGTGTATTTCATTTGGAATATTCCTATATGTTAGGAAGGGACCATGGGCACGTGAGGAACTCATACAAGGGAAGTGAGAGAAAATACAGTGATATAAAGGGAAAAAGGAATAATGGTAGAGGAAGGATTAGTGGGATGGAGAATGGATAGGTAGAGTAGAGGAAGGAATCAGGGAGAGATAACTAATACTGAGGGCCTTTTCAAAAGCCATATGGAAACCTACTACTGTAGAAGCTCTCTAAAAATATATACATGTATAGACAGATGTATGATAGATGATAGATGCAAAACAGATAGATGATAGATAGATGACACATAGATGACAGATAATAGATAGATAGATAGATGATAGATAGATAGATGATAGATAGATAGATAGATGATTATGCATCTGAAAAATGGGAGGCAGAGACAAAGAATCAGCCAGAAGCTCACAGGCTAGCCTGGAGTACACCACAAAGGGGCAGAAACAACTGGAGAGACCCTGCCTCAAAAACAAGGCGGAAGATGAAAACAATGTGCCTACGCACAAAAAATAAATAGAGAGATGATAGATAGTAGATAGATGATAGAAGATAGATAGATAGATAGATAGATAGATAGATAGATAGATAGATAGATAGATAGATAGATAAAATGGAATTTCCCTATAATGGGGGCACAATACCCCCAACTAGACATATCCTAGCAAAAAAATAAATTGACAGTACCAGAAATGGGTTACATCTCTTCGAGTTGTTGACCCATGGATCCCATAAACTCCCAAACATTACAGGTTACTGCCATTGCTCTTAGTTACCCTCCAGAAATTGATAATAAGATCCTACTGCTGAAGACAGCTTATACTTGAGTCATAAAACATTGAGCAATCAAGAAACCCCAAAGCTTCACCCCTGCTGGCTAGTGGCACCAGTGTTATGGTAGTAACCCACCACCCTCCGATTGGATTTAATGCCCACTGAATGAGATGGAACTCATACCTGACACAGTTCTTGGGGCCAAGAATCTATGGTAGATCAGTCATGGACCCTGTGTAAGAACCCGCCACCAATATTTTATTAATAGGACATAGTATTAAAATGACTTCCAATGACTTATTTATATACATATGGATTAGTACATCTCTCAACCCTCATCAGAGAAACATCTTGCAGTAAAAGGCCATTATCCCAAAGACCCACAACTGGTCAACATGCAAAGAATAAGAGATGTTGGAGTGTTCAGCATTAGACAGGACATCAATATTTCATCTCTCCCCTGAAGGCTAAAGGATCATTGTAGAAGAGGGGGCAGAAAAATTGTTGGGTAACTACAAGGAAACTGTTTTCCAGACAGCATGTCAATTGTATATATAAACTCACAGCAAATGTGACAGCATGCACAAGACCTGGTCAGGCTCAAGCCTGACTGGAGATGAGAGGTGAGCATGAAATCCCACCACTAACCAAGAAGACATTGGCATATGACAGCTGCTGGGAATGAAGAGTCAGTTTTCTTTAAGAC